GGCCTGTACCAATGGTGAAGGGTAAGTGTATGCTCCCCAAAGGTTATATGATATCCCCGGAAAAGCTTATCAGAGGGGAAATCGAGCGATCGAGCAAATGTTCAGCTACATTAAGTGCTCTGAAAGCTTCAGCAAACATGATATTGACCGAAGCCCCCGTGTCTACCAGTATTCGTCGTACTTCAAAGTTGGCTATGTGAGCTTCCACGATCAGTGGGTCATTGTGAGGGTAGATGATACCTATTTCTTCCTCAGGGTAGAAACATATAGGATCCCAGTTAGGCTTTTGATACTTACCTCCCCTAATGTCTTCTACGTGAAACACTTGGTGGCCAGACCTTAAAGCTCGTTCACTATTTTTCATGGCCTTGTTGGAAGATTTAGATATGGGTGTGCCACCACTTATGGAATATATCACATTCACCTGGCATTGGTTACGATTACCCCTTGGAGGGTACCACTTATGGAATATATCACATTCACCTGGCGTTGGTTACGATTACCCCTTGGAGGGTGAAGGAGGAATTGATCAATTTTTCCTTCACTTGCCAAAGCTTCAATATAATCATGAAGGGTGATACATTTCTCGCCGTTACGGTCGTTATGCTCGTGGTAGCAGCAAAACCTGCCTGTGTTCTTCGTGAGCTTGTAATCCGGGTGCCTCGGCTTTGGCTTTGGTATCAGGTGTGCTATGATGGGGTAAATGGCTACGCATGTGGCGTTCAAAGGTGTGTATGCCTCATACCTCGGGGTAAGGCTGTCCTGACACGTGCTTGACCCATTGTGTTGACTGCCTAGGTTCGGGGATTATCATGGCGATACCCTTGGTTATCGCAGTAGTGTCCCTTACTCCTTTTACTAAAATGAGACTGGTGAGGATGGAAATCTTTCTTTTTTCCTTAAGATTGATATACTTGTTGACTTGGCAAAATATTAAGTAAGGCGGAGTGAGGCACCGCTGCCGTTTGGAAGGTCGAGGTCTTCTCATTTAGTTGGATCTGGCTTCCACTCCCTACTTGCTGATAAGGGGTGGTTGTGGGAGGTTTCCTTTGATATGTCCTTGCCTCAACGGCGGCATGGTTGTAAACCTGTGCCATCACCTCAGAGTAAGTCTTCCAAGTGTTGGCATTGATCATGTACTTGAAGAAACAATCACGTAGGCCTGCCGTGAAGGCCTTGAGGGCGGTTTTGTCATCTGCCTCAACGCAGCGAGAATACTCATGGCTGAAACGACCGGCATACTCTCGTAGTGACTCGTTCGGCTTCTGGTGAATAGTGTACAAGTCATCTGTAAAATGCAAGCGATCGGTCTGGAAGATGTGTTGAGAGACAAACAGTTTCCTCAGTTCCTCAAATGAGTCTACTGTCTCAAGTGGAAGACGGCAATACTAGTTTAGAGCTCCGCCAAAAAGGGTGGAGGGGAAGAGAAGACATCGCTCTTCATCGCTGTGCATCCAATATGATATGGTGGACTCAAAGAGGTTAAGGTGTTCAATTGGGTCCTCCCTTCCAGTATAGAGTTGTAAAGCAAGCTTTTGTTTTGTCTTCGCTTGAAGGGGGTGTCGAGGATCTTCCTTGTGAGAGGGCCAGGCCTGGGTTGGTTCCAATCAGGTATCTCGGCCTGACGTTCGGCCTTCAACTTGTTTACTTCCTCAAGGAGTTATAGGATAAGGGGGTCCTGAGTAGAGTTATGTACTGGGATTTTCTTTCGTAAGTCTTCATCGCCTCTTAGAAGTAGGAAAGTTTGAGCAAGGGTGTGTGATTTTTCCTTGGACTTGCTGTACTGACTTCTAGGGTGAGTCTGTCGGAATATCTCAGAGTCTCATGTACCTTCATGTTCCTCTGGGACCTGTCGTTCTTTCCCTAGATTGGCAGCTGGCCTGGGTCGTGGCCTGGGTCGTGGGAGAGGATTCTCTCGACGTTGTTTTAGGAAGTCTCAGCAGTCACGATAAACGGTTTTCGATCCTTCCAACCCTTCTACAAGGAGGTGTCTTCCTCCACTTCTCTTGCTTTAGGTCGAAACAGCTGGGTTGAGAGAAGTCTTATGTTGATAAATGTTTTGATGATTAGCTCGCTCCTCATCAGGGATACCCATGTCGAAGGAAGGTAACCCTCCGTGTTATAGGGCACCCAGATGATGGTTAATGTTCATAGGGGCAACGAGCTCGCGTGTTTGAGTACGCCTAGTTTCGTGGAGCTTCTCATACTGCTCTTGGAAGACCTCATTCTTCATTGTTATCTTGTTGTTCTGAGCTTCTAGCTCATCGACTTTAGCTTGAAGAGCAACCCTATTTTCTGCCTTCTTTCATTACTTCACACTAGGTGCAAGATGGGTGTCATTCTGTGTACTGTGGCTTCCTTCGCTCCCCATGTTGGAGAGGGATACCTGGTCAAAAGAGAGTGTACGAATGATGGGAACCAGCTTGACAAAGATGAAGAGAGTGGGAATAAGTGTCGTTCCCACAGACGGCTCCAAATGTTGATGCACAAAACCGAAGGGGTTTTGGAACAACGTAAATCCGACCGTGAATCTGTAAGAAATGTAAATAACACAAGATGTATCATGGTTCACCCTAAGGTTTGGGCTACGTCCACACTGATATTGTATTTCTGAGGGAGAGATAGAGTTTCTCTATGAGAGTGAGAGCTTTGAGAATGGGAGCTTAAGGCCTAAGAATTGGCATCTCCTAATGAGGAGAGTGATGAGTCCTTTTATAGAATAAGGGCTCCTTACTTATTACATATTTGCCCATTCCTTTATTACATAATTACATTTAAGTGCCTCGAGTATTTATATGAGATCTAAATACGGAGGTCCTAAGTATGGTACAAAGAGTAGTCCCTCAAGTCTTCAATCAAGCGAGTCTTTTGGCTGGAGACTTGAAATTCAGTCCATGTATGGCCCGAAGTAACTAGATATCGTTCATGACTGATACTCGATACGAGGCGGTGCTCAATCTGAAATGATGCCCAACTAGAAGTAGCACATGTTGCGAGGCTACTCTGCTTGTGTTGCCTTGGTTGGCTCGGGATGTGGTGTTGAAGGTGAGAGAGTCCCTTTTATAGAATAAGGGCTTGCTCCTCATTACAAAAATGATGGATTAGAGTTGGTGCTCGTGGTGAGGCGGTTAATCAGCTAGCGGCGATGCTCTCTAATGAAGGTAAGAGAATCCCTTTTATAAAATAAGGGATCGCTCCTCAGTACATGAATAATGGGTGCTCTCTAATGAAAGTGAGGGAGTCCCTTTTATAGAATAAAGACTCGCTCCTCAGTACATAAATAATGGGCTAAGTCCCCCAAGTATTTTTCATGAGGCCCAGTTGAGGCCCAATATATGGTGTATAGTGTAGTCCCCCAAGTCTTCGGTCAATAGAGTCTGTTGGCTTGAGACTTCAAATTGAATCCATGTATGGGCCGAAGTGACGATTGTTCGGAGGCGGTATTTGTATAACCTGCATTGAAGCTTTGTAGGTGAAGCTTTGCAAGTGAAGCTTTGAAGCTGGAGCTCTGTAAATGAAGCTTTTAAAGCTAGAGCTTTTGTAAATGAAGCTTTTGAAGCAGGAGCTCTGTAAATGAAGCTTTTAAAGCTGATTGACATAAGTGATACTCATGAATGTTTATGTTGATTGACATGAGTGATGCTCATGAATGTTTATGTATGATTGATATGAGTAATGCTCATGATTGTTTATGTATGATTGATATGAGTAATGCTCATGTATAATTTGAAGTACTGGGCGTACTTTTGATCACCTGGTTGGTGATAATAGCGGCAGGCTGTCAAATAATTTAGAGTACTGGGCGTACTTTTGATCACCTGGTTGGCGATAATAGCAGCGGGGTGCTGAATAATTTTTTGTAGTACTGGACGTACTTTTGGTCACCTGGTTGGTGCTATTTTGGGCTTATGGGCCTTCGCCTTCCACACAACATTCCAGCCCATTTATTTTGGGCTTTGCCGGTTTTTTTTTTTTTTGCCCTCTGATGGGATTTATACTAGGGGTGGTTCGGTATGGGATACCATACCGAAACTAGTATCCCGAATCCCAAACCGAAAATTTTCAGGACGGGAATTTGAAGACTAATCCCAAACCAAATTTTCGGGAATCCCAAATTTAAGGAATCCCGAAATATTTTCAGGATTTTGGGACAAATCGAGAATCCCAAATTTAAATATGAAATTATGAATTGTTGTTCAAATATATAATTCAAGAACACATTCATGAACTAGAAATGTCATTTTATTCACACTACCATTTAATCTAAAATTGGCATGCCTGACTGTTTTTATCAGAGTCAAATTCAAATTAATTAAACCCTTTTTGCAATCTGTTGAGAGACAAAAGAATCAAGCCTTCTAAAATCATCAGCCATGGCATCATCAATAACAAAATCCAAATGAATATCAAACAGAACATGAAAAATATACAAGGTGTAGAGCATTCCAGGTTGCGGAGCATGAATTAGAAACTACTAGCATCAATTATAAAAGAATAATATATATATATATATATAATAATTAATATTATATATTTTTGGTTTGGCATGGGATTCCCGAAATATCGAGAAGCCAATTCCTAATCCCGTACCGAAATTTCGGGATCGGTTCGGGATTTTCGGGAATTTTTTCCACCCCTAGTTTACACAGATATCTCTGAAAGATATGAAAAATAAATTACATCAGTCAAAAATAAATCCGACCCTCTGCTCAATGGGTCACGCCCATAATTCTCTTTTCTGCATGTCATCACCACCGCATTTATGTCTACTTCTTTTTATCTCCTTTTGCTTTCTGTTTTTCCTTTATTTTTCTACTTTGCTTTTGCTTTTGTTTCCTACCCTATTTCATAACTCAAGTAGACATATCCTCTGGGCCTTCAGAAAGTGATTTCACATGGCTACCACCCTGTAAAAAAGATGCTCCTTGAAGCAGGAAAGCAAGAATGGTGAAGCTGGTCAGCTTGGTTATGGATCCAACGGCTGAGAAGCACAAAGATGCTCATTTATTTTCATCCTGCTTTATCGGGGTGTGCGGCTTATCATTAGGCAACCCATCATGAAGCATCAAATCGAAAGCCGAACACCCATTCTCCTTTATCAGCTTTCTGAGCCTGGCCGTGCACTCAGGCTTGGTGATGTCCTGCTGGATGGAGAAGACGCCGCGGACCAGGGCGATGGGGACTAGGTCCACGCCGACCACGAGGCTACCAACGGGCACGCGCTGCACAGCGACTTGCATCCAACCGTCGGGGGCGACACAGAGGTCGAGGACGGCCTGAGTAGAGTGGAGGAATCGGTGCTTGGTGTCGAGCTGGGCAAGCTTCCATGAAGCTCGAGAGCGGTAGCCATGCTCTTTGGCTAGTATCTAATACTTGTCCAAACGATGCTTGCCCTTCACCTTCCCCATGGCAGCAGAACCACTTTCTCCTTCGGAAGTTCTTTTCTTTATGGTCTCTCTCCGACCAAGGCTTGAATCTGATAATGAACAACTGGAAGGGACAACATCAAATACTGAATTACATCTTAGATTTCTTAAACCATTCCTGGTTGTGCTAGCCCGTGTTTGGATGGTGTTTTTAGATCCCGTAGAAACATTAGAACCCACTATGGAATCTTGGCTGCGCAATCCAGATCTCTGATTGAAACTCCTTCGAGATCTTGTATTTCATGCTGCACCAAAGCTTCCAACTTAAATCTGACACCAACACCCAAGTTGCTTTTTATCAATTCAATCGCTCTTTAAACATATTCAAGGAATAACTTTGTGGCAAATTCACAGCCGCAAACCCAGGCATTTCCATCTTGAACTCCATGGCAGAGGGTCGTCGGTGCGGAGGGGATCGAAAGAGAGGACGACTTTGGCGATCGGGTAAGGATCGGAGGGGTTGTGGGAGCTTCACAACTTGGCGACGACCACCGGGCACTTCATCAGCCAAACTGGGGCCATCGCCCTCCCCATGTCCATCCGACTGCTGCTATTGCTGTTCCCGCGCTCCTTCTTCGTCAAATCTCTCTCTCTCTGCTCGACGCCCATAGTTTTTAGGGATTTTTTTTCTGACTGACCAGGGAGACTTGAAGCTTCACCATAGAGTCAAGAGACGGGGACGCTGTCTTGGCTTTTGGGTTATAATCCCCTGCATTGCAGCTTTTTCTCGTCTATTATCTCTGTGGTTGTGTCTCTGTGTGGGTTTTTTGCAGATCCACGGTGGACGGTGATGAAGTCTTACGGCGGTGAGATGAAAAATTGAAAGATGACCGACATAGCTTTTCGTGCCGTTTCCCACAGACGACGCCAAATGTTGATGCACAAAATCAGTGAGAACTTTGGTACAATAGAAAGTGTCAAGTTTGTGACCTTTGCTGGATAAAGACAGGGAAGCAAACACAAGATGTACGTGGTTCACCCAGATTGGCTACGTCCACAGAGTAGAGGAGTTCTCATTAATGTTAAAGGGTTTACACAAGTACATAGGTTCAAGCTCTCCTTTAGTGAGTACTAATGAATGATTTAGTACAAATGACATTAGGAAATACTGTGAGAGAATGATCTCTATTTATATAAGAGAGTTTCTAGTTTCATTCTGATATTAACACGTGTCGTGTGATTGGCTTCTGATGTTGACACGTGTCGCGCTATGATTGGCTTCTGATGTCGACACGTGTCGCGCTATGATTGGCCTCCTAGTTGAAGGGAAACTCTTCTGGGTCCTTGACGGTATAACGTTGACCGGTGCTCAGTAGTTTCGGGATTTGTCAAGTATGGTACAAATAAAACTAGTTGACATGGCACCGATAACAGCTAGTGTGACGCTTACTCGTCGAACCGCGACGGCAGCATGTGACACCAATGATGCGGCACGTGGTGGCACGTGGCCGGAGCACGGCGGCGCATGGTGGTGCACGCAAGACCCATGACCTACCCTTGGGTTTTTTGGTGTTCTAAATCGTTTCACGCCCTGCGTTTGTGCAAATTTTGTTTCTAAATAGTAGTTTTGAAAGTATGTTCATAAAAAGAGTTAGAAAAACTTATTAAAGCTAAATTTTACATTCATAGGTTTAAGCAAGGTCAAAACTGAATCATGCAAGAAGCGTAACAAGGAAGGACGCTCAGATTACCTGTGAGTGGATCCCTTCAAAACTAAATGTTTTTAAGTAAACTATTTATATGTTGATGCATGTTAATGCACAAAATAAGTGAGGACTTTGGTACAACAGAAGTGTTAAGTTTGTGGCCTTCGCTAGATTGCTCCGGTCGCTAGTGTGGATAAATATGTAAATGGATAGAGACAGGGAAGCAAACACAAGATCTACGTGGTCCACACAGATTGGCTACGTCCACGGAGTAGATGAGTTCTCATTAATTATGAAGGGTTTACACAAGTACATAGGTTCAAGCTCTCCTTTAGTGAGTACAAGTGAATGATTTAGTACAAATAACATTAGGAAATATTGTGAGAGAATGATCTCTATTTATAGAAGAGAGTTTCTAGTTTCATTCTGACATTGACACGTGTCGTGTTGTGATTGGCTTCTGATGTTGACACATGTCGCGCTATGATTGGCTTCTGATGTCAACACGTGTCGCGCTGTGATTGGCCTCCTAGTTGTAGGGAAACTCTTCTGAGTCCTTGACGGTATAACGTTGACCGGTGCTCAGTGGTTTCGGGATTGGTCAAGTATGGTACAAACAGTGCTCCTCTAAGTTCCCGAGTGAGGGAAGCTCCTCGGTTGGGGACTTGCAAGATCCAAGCCATTGAGTAATCACGAAACTTCTAAGTACTGAAGTGTGGTATCATTTTCACTTGCCTTATCTGTCTCATACGTAGATGTGGCATCTTCTCTGGAAGTACTTTTCCTCCACCCAAGGGTGGTATCTTTAACCGATGAAGATGCACAAGGTAATGTATCAATTTCACTTGAAGCTTACTTGTAGTTTTAGGCTTGGTCAAGTGCGATACAAAACCCTATAGTAGGAGTTCCCCAAGTCACCGAGCTAGGAGATTTACCGAAAGAGGTAACAGACAAGGTAAGCAATCAGACTTCCAAGTAAGCAACCTGGATCGGAGGTTCGACTTCGGCTTCCAGTTGATTGTTCTCCTTCTCCTTGTGTCGTAAATAGCAACAAGGATAAGGAGAAGCAAATGGAGAAGAGATGATATGAGATACTTTTGTTTTTTAAGAAGTAACTTTCCACAGGCTTATTCTTGAACTGGGCTGGAGGGTTTTCTGGTTTCCTCTAAAATATAAGGCCGACTCAAGAATTTGAGGGTCAAAACAAGTCCATCAAATCAAGAGTGCATTCCACCTTGATGATATGGGATACTTTTGCTGTTGACGAAGTAGTGGATGAATCGGCACGTGCTCTGTTGCGCTTGTCTTCACATGCTTCCTTGTATCCTTCTCACTTGCCCTATCTGTTCCTCAGGCAGATGTGGTATCTTTTCTAGAAGCATAAGATGTTGAAGATGAGTACTCAAGAGCAATGCCAGGTAAGTAATCAGGCAAAGGGTTCCAGGCAGTCAGTTCCTGACTAGAAGCTTGATTTCAAGTGCTGACTGATTGCTCTCTTTCTCCTTGTCTTGCAAGTAAGAACAAGTGCAAAGGAAAAGACAGGGAAAAAACATGATATGGGATACTCTTGCTTTTGACCCTTATGATATGAGATACTCTTGCTCTGGTATGGCTGGTTTGCATAGGTATTATTGGGGGGGAAGAAAGATGAGTATTTCGAGAGGCTTCGTTGGGAGTGCCCTCTCAGATATGAGGAAGGGTTGAGCATTTTTGCCAGTCTGCCTTGCCACGAAAGATGGAGGTCGACATATATAGAAGTCTTCCTAACAACAAGTAGTAATGTTATTCCTTTACCTTTCTTGGTCGTAGCAATGTAGCTGCAAGCTTCACATGTTTTAACTTTGTCAAAGCACTTTGAAAAAGTGGTATGTGGTATCTGGAAAGCTGATGTTGCATGGGAAGATTGCAGACAAGCTTTATCCAAGGAAATCTAGCTCTCGAAGTTCAGATAGCGATGCCTCTTCGATTTTCGAACAAGCAATCCTGTCGGCGATCTAGCTCTCGAGATTTGGAGAACGGTGCCTCTTCGATTTTTGAGAAAGCAATCCTGTTGGGAGTCTGGCTCTTGAGATTCGAAAAGCGGTGCCTCTTCAATTTTTGAGAAAGTAATCCTGTTGGGAGTCTGGCTCTCGAGATTCGGAGGGCGGCACCTCTTCGATTTTTGAGCAAGTAATAATGTTATTCCTTTATCCTTCTTGGTTATAGCAATGTAATGGGAGCTGCAAGCTTCACATGTTTTAACTTTGTCATAGCGCTTTGAAAAAGTGGTCTGTGGTATATGGAAAGCTGATGTTGCGTGTGAAGATTGCAGACAAGCTTTATCCAAGGAAATCTGGCTCTCGAAGTTTGGAGAGCGGTGCCTCTTCAATTTTCGAACAAGCAATCCTGTTGGGGATCTGGCTCTCGAGATTCAGAGAACGGTGCCTCTTCGATTTTTGAGAAAGCAATCATGTTGGGAGTCTGACTCTCGAGACTCGGAGAGCAGTGTCTCTTCAATTTTTGAGAAAGTAATCCTGTTGGGAGTCTGGTGGCTCTAGAGATTCGGATAGTGGTTCCTTTTCTATTTTTGAGCAAGCAATCTTGTTGGGAGTGTTTTCTCGAATGTGAGTAAAGGTTGGGCATTTTTGCCAGTTTGCCTTGCCACGGAGCACGAAGGTTGACACACATTGGGACTTTCTAGTTATCAAGCAGTAGTGATGTTCCTTTACCTTTGTGGGCAATAGTAGGGTAGCTGGACCTTCAAAATTATGTGTCTAAACTTTGTCAGAGATCTTTGGCAAAGTTACCTGTGGTACCCGATGAGCTAATGTTGCGTGTGGAAAGTGGTGCCTCTTCGAAATCCGGAGAGTGGTGCCTCTTCAGAATCCGGAAAGTGGTACCTCTTCGATTTTTTAATCAACGGCCCTATTGCCCTTTCTTTTATAAGGGCATCAATTGTGTGCAAGGAGTACATTCAGAGAGTTATTGCTTAGAGGAATTTTCCCTTTACTTCAGAGATTTATTGCACCTCATTTCTCCTTCATCATTTCTGAGAATGTCTGGCCTATCCGACCGTCGTTTTGACTTAAACTTTGGTGAAGAGGCAGCCATGCCTTCTCAAGATAACATATGGCGCCCATCCTTGTTATCCCCTACTGGTCTTCTTACTGTTGGGGACTCTGTGATGAAGAATGATATGACCGTTACGGTGGTGGCCAAGAACCTTCTCACTTCTAAAGATAACAGACTACTTTCCAAACGGTCTGATGAGTTGGCTGTTAAGGATTCTTTAGATCTCAGTGTGCAGGTTCTGTGTCTAATATGGCCCAACGCCTATTTGCTCGAACCTGCCAAGTTGAATCATTGGCGGCTGAAGTGATAAGTCTCAAACAAGAGATTAGAGGGCTCAAGCATGAGAATAAACAGTTGCACAGGCTCGCACATGACTATGCTACAAACATGAAGAGGAAGCTCGACCCGCTGCAGGAATCTGATGGTCAGATTTTACTTGATCATCAGAGATTTATGGGTTTGTTCCAAAGGCATTTATTGCCTTCGTATTCTGGGGCTGTACCACGTAATGAAGCTCCAAATGATCAACCTTCGGTGCCTCCTCCTTCTGGGGTTCTACCTAGTACTGAGGCTCCGAATAATCACCCTCTGGTGCCTCCTCTTTCTGGGGCTCTGCCGATTGCTGAGACTTCTCCTGAGCAACCTTTGTGAAGGCTCCCTCTTGTTTGTTTATTTTGATTCATGTATATGTACATATTTGTAACTTATCGAATATATCAATAAACAAGCTTTACTTCATTTCAACGTATTGTGTTAAATACACCAAGGCCTTCTTCACTAAGTTCTTTGAATTTTTCCTTTTGTTGAAGCTTGTATGTTAAAGCTTTGTGAGTGAAGCATGTAGGTTGTGGTAGTGCTCCCTTAATTTCCCGAGTGAGGAAAACTTCTCGTTTGAAGACTGGAAAAATCCAA